TATTGCCATACATGTAAATTGTATATTTTTAGCCAATCAGATTTTATATCAGTATGCAATGCTAGATTTAAGTGCTTTGCCCCCCGCTAGATAAACATTTATTCTTAAAATATTTTATGTATTAAAATATTATAAGGTGGGCTCGGTATTGTTTATTCTGCATATCTTGATAGTAAAAGGTACGCATTGAAAACCTTTAAAAATAACGAAGTGAATAAAGAATTACCCTAATCTAATAATTTATATACAGTCAATTCTTGCTGTAACGAATTGTTGGTCCTGGTTATAAAAAAAAAGTTCGCTATATAAAATTATTATGTTTCTTAAGAAACCATAACTCTTTTTATACCGAACTAATATGAAATTTAAAATTTTTATCTCATTATATCCAGAATTCGTTATATAGAGGCTCGTTAGAAAGAGAATTTACAGTATATTCATAGCTTAAATTACAAGCTATTAATTTTCATCCTAACAACAATCAATTCCATGGAATATCGCGTGGTATTGTAATAATACAATTATATGCTAGATAGATATTTTTTAATAATCTTTTCTTCCTTAGATCCTAAAACAAATAAATTCGTGTTTGTACTACAATTTGCCAATGGAGGAATCTACGGCAATATTTAAAAAGCAAATGGCAAGATGATAATTTTAAAATCTCATTAAACAAATTATCAAAATTTCTAAGCCTGCTGATGTGAGAATATTTATAATTCATTGTAATTTGGTAAATATCAATATATTTATCGTTCAAATTTTCAATTAATTTTTATTTCTGTAAATCATAAATTAATTGTATAATGATTTGATTAAGCATTTTGAAAATATCTTAATAAATGATGATAAACTTTAATTGCGAGTTTTGGGTTATCAAGAAAAGTAGATGATACTTATAGCTCTTCATCTTCGATTGTAAAATGAACGCTGACGTACCTTGATCCACATTGTTATCGCGAACCCGGGAAAATCCAGATGAATAATCTGATATTTACAGTTTAGGAGTAATATTTGAGAGTTTACAAGCGGAATTTCTCCATTTGCAATGCTAATATATTTGTCATACTTTTGCAAACATCGCAAGGTTATCGAGAACAAACGATTCTCAGTATTCCAATAGATTTTGCGACACTTTATGAGGAATGCTGAATGTCAAAAGAACGTCCAACAAATAAGTAAATTTCTTGAGAATTTTTATATCAAAAAGAGAAACAACACAATCTATTATAAATCGCAATAAGAAACTTACACCTGAGTTAGATGAAAGACCATCTCATCCTAGTCCGAAAACCTCATTGGAGTCTTTAATTAAAACTTCTGGACAAAAATCTAGTTCGGAATTGAAAAAAAATATCATAATTAGAATTTATTGTAATGAACTTAAAAACTTGTGAAGATATGTGAATTAATGATGTTCGATATTTTTAATATATTTAAAGCGCGTTATTTATTGGAGATTCTATATTAAAACAAGTCAATTTAAAGTTTTGAGGACGGGCTTCGCTCCGGCCGATTGTCAGGATCTTTGTCCCAACATTTGTATACAACTTTATAAATTTTGTGATATATCATCTATAGGTTGCGTACTCTTGCTTTATTAATAGCAATTGCTTCTTTGATGTAAAAATGATCGGTTATCGGTCGGTTATTCACTCATAGTTGACTAAGCCGCATAGTGTTTGATATCCAATGTTCACAACAGTGTTCCCAAGAACATTTAGAAAAATCGGGAACAAAAATTATGTTCCCTTTTAGGAATAAATAGGGAATATAAAATCTATAATTTATGTTTCTATAAAATAATTATAGAAAAATTAAAATATATTTATAATTTAGACCGAGGAATATAATGCTGGGCAGAATTAAGAAAATAGGAATGAAAATTTCCGAAAAGGTCTGAAAAGAAAATGAATGAACATAAAAGACGATAAGGGTCAGAGTAAAAATTTGAGCAAATATCTCATATGATAATTTCCGAAGGGAAAATATAAAAGGGAGAGAAAATTTTCATTAATAAGAACATTAAAAATCTTTTAGGAACTTAAATTTCTAAATTTATGTTCTTAGGGAACAAAAAAAACTTTCCAGATAACTTTCACTAGTCGTACGGCTAAATAACCGGATATAGTCGGTTATAGGCGATAATTATTTAATCAATTATTTAATCAAATGTTCAAATAGAAATAAGTAATTATTTATTGGTTTGTATTTTTGCTATAGGAGGCTGTTTGGATAGGGCCACCGATTTTTTGCTGCGACAGATTGTAAATTCTGCCTGCTCTATGGGGCTGTTTGTGCGAAAATATGCTGTAGATTGTGCGAAATTTTGCGAATTAAATAAAATTATGCTCATTATTGTATGAGACATTTTTATAATATCAAATAAAATATTTAATATATAAATTGAATATAAAATATTTTTCTGTATTGTTATATAATGATAAAAGGTAAAAAATGGTCACACCCTAGCGCCAAATGAAAGGGTCACCCATAGCAGACTAAATCAAAAATTTTCTACAAATTAAACATACTAAACGTGTTGGTTTGAACTGAAATTTAATAATGTTGACATTATTGTTATAAAGATCGTAAATTATCATTATCTACGAAATTTTATTATATGGATCACGCTGAACTCATAAAAATCATTCGGCCAAACCCAAATTGCAGTTGAATCGCAGGCATCCCATGTTTAGCCGTCTTTCAATTTATTGACTTACGTCAACTCGAAAGATCGATAATTCTTGTAGAATTACCAATCATTAATTTAAGGCATTTTTAATTACTATAATTCTTGATATAAATTTAATTAATTTAAGGTTTTTATAAAGAAAGAGTCGACTATACTATAATTGTTAGGCAAACTTTTTCCGTAAGATGATAAGGCCACGCAAAGTTAATTTTTCGTTTTGCATTACATGGATTTCAGAATCAGCGGCGGTCGGATTTTTTTTTTTTTTAATTCTACAGTAAATAATAGACTCATATTCACATTTATAATTGCGTAGCACGATGAAAAAAAATTAAAAACGGCGAAAGATATAACCTGGCAAAACCTAGAAATTTTGCTTTGGCGGTATCGCAAAATCTTTAGGATTTATTTGGGATTTCACCAGATTTCATTTTCACCGTTTTTAATTTTTGTTCTTTAGGCCACACAAAGTAAAATTTTCGTTTTGCATTACCCGCCGACCGATTTTTTCAAATTTTCGATTTTTTTTTTTTTTTTTAGGTTCCAATTGTGCCAATTGTTCTATTTTTGCCATTTAATTTTTCCCCATAAATTATTC